AAAATAAATAAATAAATAAAATAAAATCCAAATCCAAAGGAGGGAATGGTATCAAAGCTTAGACTGTGAACACCCACTTTGCAGAAGGCTTTGGATGACAATGGAAGCCCAAAAGCCATCTGCAGAGTCTACTAATGGATTAAATCGCCAGCAAATCCCCTCTGAACATGGTCCAGGGGTGGTAATAGCCTTGATTTCAGACAGAGAACATTGTAAAGTCAATTATGGCAGATGTAGTTAGGTTAAATGGAATACCTTATCATTTGATCTCCCTTTTGACCCATTTAAAATTTTTTCAGATTTTAATATTTTCTGCTTTCTTTTGAAGAAGTTTTTCTATTCTTCAGTCATTGTTACTGGGGTTTTGTTTGTTTCCATTGTATAATTTTCTGTATATGAAATGCAGGATAGGTAAGCCTATAGCGACAGTAACTACAGGATAATAAACCTATAGACAGTAAAAGTAATTACCTAGGGGCATGGCATGGGAGAAATGGGGAGCTAATGAGTAGGAAAAAGAAGAAAATGTTCTGAAATGGATTGTGGTGATGATTGTACACCTCTTCTTAATGTAACTGAACAATTAGATTATATTATATGTGAACTATATGCCGATAAAGCCATTTAAAAAAAATCAAAATAGCTGCATGTACCCAAGGAAAGAGGGTTAGGAAGGATGAGGAATGGAAACTGGAAACACAGGCAGGAAGTGGGGTGAAAGTGGATACACTGAGGTGATTCAAATGGATGAGTCATAACAAAATTTGTTAATTGTTGAATATAAAACTCATGATCTCTGTAAACTTTCACGTAAATCACAATAAAAAGTTAAAGGAAATTTAAAAATCATGTATAAACTGTTGAATTGATGTATTTTTTGCTGTATGTATTCTCAAACATCACAAGCTATAAGATATGTCACATAATCTTACCATTGCGGAAAACCTTATTGAAATCAAATCCTTGGCTTGCTAGAAAGTCAATGCTTGAACTCTGAAACAAAGAAACAGAACAAGCCTTTTCAGTAAGGACAGTAGCAGATATGTGAACAACAGCAGAGGGCCCTTCAGTAGAGAATGGCAGGCAAAGCAGCAGCATGCCAAAGAAAACGATATTTCTACTCCAAGGCCTTCAAATAACTCATTCATTTACTTCAAATATTTGGGCTCCCAAGGTTGGCAATTCAGTTCCACAGGAGAAAGATGAGGCTGTCAGTTCCCATAAATGTTAGTCATCTCAGAAATCCTACATAGGGTTGCTCGGACTCAGAACTGACTTGATGGCAGTGGGAGGATTTTGTTTTTATTTTGGTGGGGATGGCTACTTCCCCTCCTTTTTAGCTTGTTTAACAAATACCCTCTGTTTCACAATATTTAGGAAAATCTATTAGAGGAACTGATGTTCCCGCAATAGGCAGAGGACGACTCTTGATTGCTATGTCTCTTCCTGCCTGTTTTCACTGTGTTAACTCAGACGCACTGTGAGCAGAACTGTCCTGCAGAATTTCCAAGGCCGGCACCTTTACGGCGCAGACCGTCTCATCTTTGTCCCGTGCAGCGACTAGCGGGTGCAGCCGCTCTTGTTCTATAACCACTCTACCACGAGGGCTTCTTGACAGGACTGCAGTTACTCTAATTTTATACTTGGGCTAAACCAGCACACCAAGGGCTACACACCACGACCACTTTTCATTCGGTCCTTTAGAATCACACTGTCAGAGCTGTACTTTTTAAACGTTATACAAAGGAACACTAGTAGCACACTGGTTAAATATTAGGCTGCTAACTAAAAGGTTAGTGGTTCCAATCCACCAACCACTCAGGGAAAAACTAACAGAACTGTCTGCGGCCCTGAACAATGAAAGTTCTTTGCCCAGAGGGTCACTAGAGCTCCGAATCCACTCGCTGGCAGTGGGTTTGGGTCAATGACTTTTTTTTTTTTAATATCAAACAGTCCCATTAAATTCACCACTGTATCAATTTTAGAAATATGGCTGCAGATGAGGTTTTGTGCATTAATGATTTCTTTATGATGCTAAGGGCTGAATGTTCTGAGACCTCAACTAGGAAAAACTGTACTTCTGAGCCTGGTTTAGTTTGGGTCCACGCATCACAGAATTCATTTTTTCCTTCTTTTCTTAACAATTAGAAGACACAGAAACAAATAGTTGAGAATAGCTGTATGTACCCAAGCACATATTCTACGCTCTAAAAAGCCCTAGTAAAACAATGGTTAAGCGCTTAGCTGCTAAGCAAGAGACTGGTGTTTGGAGCTCACTGAGAAGCTCCATGGGAGAAAACCCTACTGCCTGTAAAGATCACAGCTTAGAAAACTCTACTGGGCAGTTTTACTCTGACAACATGGGGTTAATATGAGTTGAAAGAGTCTCAACAGCACCTAACAACAGCAGTCATAGCAGTTGTCATACTCTCATATATTTCTATTTATATTTTTAAACTTGTAAAGAAAAACAAGGTATCATATATTTATTTATTAGACAACAAAAAAATCGTTTAAAAACTTGATGGGATATAAAATAAAAATCTTAGACAGACAGATGAGGGGGCTTCAAAAAGTTCACAGAAACTGGAATTAAAAGATAATGGAATTTTTACAATCTAACAATACCTCTGCTGGCTATATACCCTAAAGAACTACGAGCCATACACAAACAGACATAGGCGCTCCCGTGTTCATCGCAGGACTGTTCATAGTAGCAGGAAGTTGGAAACAGCCCAAATGCCCTCCAGTGGAAGAATGAGTACAAACTTTGGAACATACATACAAAATATAATACTATGCGTCATTAAAAAACAATGACAAAACCATGAAACCGCTCATGACATGGATGGACCCAGAGAGGATTATGCTGAGTGAAGTTAGTCAATTGCAACAGGACAAATATTGTATGAGGTCACTACTCTAAGGATAAAAACCAAGCAAAGACTTGCGTATTAAAGGGAACAGACTTGGAGGTTCCCAAGGGAGCTTGGGAAGGCTGGGAAGATGAAGCTACGAGCTAGAAGGCTGACAGGTAGTGGCTTGGTGAAAAGGAGGATGGAGTACAGTAACAGGGAGAAGAGAAATCAAGGGGGAGTAGAAGGGATAAAATATGGGTGGGGTGGCTTGATGAGTGATTTTAACTGTCCCTGACCATTTGAAATATAAGCTCTGGCCCCACAAAATTCACCAAAAACAAACAAAAAACATAATCGGATTTTCCACAAACTTTTTGAAGCTCCCTCACATACACACAAAGTCCCAAACCAAAACCAAATTCCTTACCATTGAGTTGATGCCACCTCACAGCACAAGGACAGAGTAGAACCAACCGCTCCTGTAAATTTCCAAGACTGTAACTCTCTATATGGGAGTAGAAAACCAGTCTTTCTCCCTCATAGGGGCTCGTGATTTTGAACTACTGACCTGTCAGATGGCAGCCTGAGTTAGTTACATAATTTTGTGTCAACTTGAAAATATATAAAAGTATAGGAGCAGTATTCAACCTATCAATCAGGTCACGGCCTGATGCCTCCTGGTGGTGTGGCCTTCTCATAAGAAGGGCCCTGGGAACCTCCCCCTCTCTGCCTTCACCTTCCAGCAGGCTGACCCTGATTGCTGCAATAGCCCTGTGATGTTACCACTGCCATTAGATCCACAAGACTGTGCACCCACGAGCCTGTGATGTTCCTGCATTCTGCATCACTGCTTGTGACTGCATTGAGTCTGAAGAGGGGCTTATGGACTAGTACCGGACTTATGGACATAAGTGGGATAGGGTTGGGGTGTTTTCTTTATATATAATTACTTCTTGATATGAAGCTCTTCCTTACCCCTATCTGATGAGTGTCACTGGATTTGTTTCTCTACTCAACCCAGCCTAACACAGTCCTATGCATAACCAAAACACAACCAGGGCTCCCTACACACAAACTTATGTACAAATCATTTTAATCATGCCCAGATTTTTTTTTAATCATTTTATTTGGGGGCTTATACAACTCTTATCACAATCTATCCATCCATCCTGTCAAGCACAAAGGTATCAAGGCCTGGGTTTGCAATAAAGAGCTCTCGGGCTCCCCTCTTGGCCCCTCATAGGTTCTCCCTCTACTCTCCTGTCCTCACTCCTGTTCCCTTTCCCCTTGTCCTCCTTCCCCTCCCTCTCTCCATGTGGACCACCAAGCGGGGCTGAGGTGAGCATGCTACCATGAAACGTGTCTGACTCCATTATTTCAATCTCTCCTCTATCACTCATACTCTCGATGACTTTATTACAATATTTATATATCTCAACCGTACAATTGTGCGTGATTAGTGGTGGGGGGCTGGCCCCTGCAACCACAATTTATTCTTTTCTGGGTCAATGGGGTTTTTTTGTTGTCATTGTTGTGTTCTCTTTTGTCGCTTTGTCTTGCTGTCTTGTTTTTGTGCATGTTATTAACTCCGCAGGTCTGTTTAAATAAATTAGGCTGAATGAACAATCTGGAGGAGAAAACAAAGGGACCGATGGTTCCAGGGGGACATGGGAGAGGGGGAGGCGGGGGAAAGAAGGTGGCGTTGACCAACCCAGTGACAAGGGAGCAACAAGTGATCCAAAATTAGTTGCAAGGAGGGTGTGAGGCCTGGTAGGGATTCAGCAATGGTAATGAAACCTGGAGAAATTACTGAAACCCAAATGAAGGCTGAGCATGATAGTGGGACAAGAGGAAAGTAAAAGGAAATAGAGGAAAGAGCTAGGAAGCAAAGGGCATTTATAGAGGTCTAAATACAGGCATGTACATATATTTATAAATACACATATATTTATATAGGATGGTGGGGAGATAGATCTATGTGCATATATATAGGTTTAGTATTAAGGCAGCAGATGGATATTGCACCTCCACTCAAGTACTTACTTAATGCATGCCCAGATTTTCTATGACTTAAAATAAGGAACTCTCTACCTCATTTACTCACTTTTTACCCTGTTCGGATGCAAGGCTCAACATCCTCCGATTTGGACAACTCAGCCTCTTTCTGTTTGCCATGCTTGAGTGCTCCTATAATTCTACCTAACTCAGTATTCCATCACTAACAGAGGCTTCAAAGGATGGACTACGAAAAGATATTTTTACTCTCCTGTCACTTGACTCTCAAACATCCTAATTTCCTCTATCCAATTTAAAATCTTTAGTCAAGGATTAATCAATATGACCCAGCAATTCCACTCCTAAACATATAGCCCAAAGCACTGAAAACGGATGCTCAAAAAAAAATGTAAATTTGTAATGAATGTTCACAGCTGACAAAATGGGAAAACAATTCACTTGCCCATCAATACATGAATGGATAAACCAAATATGGTATAATATACAGTGGAATATAAAAGAATCATAAAAAGAAATTAAGGACTCATACCCACTACAACATGGATGGACCTTGAAATAATATGTTCAACTTAAGTCAGTACTATTGTGCATTAGTCAACTCAGATAAAATGCCTAGAACAGGCATATCCACTGAGACAGAAAGCAGGTAAGTGATGTTAGGGCTTGCAGAGAGAGGAGTGTGGAAATGACTGTTTAACTGGTGACATTTCCATCTGAGGTGATAAGAAGTTCTGGAACACACAGCTGCCCAGCCAGCTCAATCAGTAGACAATGAGCCTCTGAGCAAGTTCTGGAACGAATGGGATAATGGTGGTATAACAACATACATGTACTTAACTACTGAATCATCCAAGACAAAATGGTAAATTTTATATGTTGACTTTACCAAAAATAAAAATATTCATCCATATCTGCTTGCCTTCTTCTTTTAAAGTTGAAGAGTACTGGAAAAGTTTTTTACTGTTGTAAAAACTACACACATATGTGACACGGTATTTGCCAAGTCAACATTTTTTATATTTATAATTCAGTGGTACCAATTACACCTCTTCTGTTTTTGAAGTTATATATATATATTTCCACTCAAAATTCCTTTTGAGCTCACAAAATCTATTTATG